ATTTTCTCTTTGAGCAGGAAGGGAAGAATTTCTTTTTTTGAGAAAAGTTTTTTTTTCATGAACTTTTGATTCACAGCCATAGCACTTCAGCAGTTCTTTCAATCCCAGTACATTTAATCTAGGCTTCAAATGCAGCCTGTAAACCCGCCTCAGTCATTGATTTAGAAGATACTTATAGGGTATTACTTATTAATTGTAGAAGCTCATCTTTGTATATTTTGATGACAGTTTTGAAAATGTGCCTCAAAGCTTTACACGCTGTTGCATTCCCAAGGTGCATTCATCATTCAAGTTGGTTGCATATCTGTAAGCAAGTAGTCAGACACAGTGGCAGTTGCTCTCTGGAAGGACTGGGAGCCACGGTAACGGAGGGTTTGGCTTTGATTAGCAAAGTGGTTCAAGCCTGTGCAGCAATTCATTTTTGCTAACCTTTGACTTTGCAGTGCATTCAAAATAACAAGGGTCTTAGACATGCGACCCACCCAGATAGACGGCGCGACCCACCCTGGCGTCCTCACAACGCCGGGGTTGGTTGCGCCTTCAAAAAACACCGGTGCGGGTGGGTCGCCGGTCGAGTTATTCATGATTTGACCCGGCTGCACCTAAAGACCCACCGCCGCAAAAGTGGGTCGTGGGTCGAATTCCTCAGCCCGTGACCTAGTGGCAGCAAAGCAGCCACGTCCAGACCCACCGCCGGTGGTGAACCAGCCGGTGGGTCTGGAAGTGGCAACGGAGCAGGGACCGGTGCCGACGGTTGGCAACACCGAAGGCGGATCTGGTGCTGCTACCCACCGGCTGTTCCACCTTCGCCATCACCACTGGTTGCTCTGCCACCGATCCCCGCCCTTGTGGGTCACGGGTCGAGGACTTCAACCCGCGACCCACTTTTGCGTCGGTGGGACTGTAGGGGCGGCCCCCGGGTCGAATTATGAATCATTCGACCCGCGACCCACCCGCCGGCATTTTCTGAAGGCGGACACCCCGGCGTCGTGAGGACGCCAGGGTGGGCGCAGTGGGCGTGGTATCGCTGATATCCGATCTGTGCGGTACGACGGGTACGGATTGTATCCTCGAGGGGGCCTTTTCCGGATTCCCCGCCAGCTGATCGATGACTTCATGTGACAGTGGTGATGGTGGTCAGGCGTGTCATCACATGTTTTATGACGTCACTTGCTGTCTCGTCCTCCAGAATCTCCGCCCACCAAGTTGACAAGCCCAAGCAGGAGCTCTTCTAGTTGACCGACCTTGTCACGCTTGATTACCGAATTTGAGCTCAACACCTTCATCACTACATCCATATACACATTTCAAAGTATTCGTCTTCAGCTTAGCTCGCCTACCACTGCCCAATACGTCATTGATTCGTGAACATCAATGCTAAGGGCGCACGCACGAGTTGGCTCGAGACCACCTTTTCAGCAAGCAAGCTCTCGACATCGGTTCCACCTCCGGGTGTCGTTCAAGCCTTGCGCTCGAACAAATCATGAGTGCCCCCGGCAGAGCTCCAGCGGGATTTTCATGAGAAAAGTCTCATCACACGCTACTGTCCATGGTCAGGTGTTTGATGGTCAGTCTGCTCACTGTTTTCCTTAATTGGTTTTTGCCGGAGTAAGCTCTCTAATTTGGTAGTTCCACTCTTCAGCTTGGAGCTCCCAGGTCAACTCGAAACCTTTATTCAAGAAAATCTTGATTTCTAACCGGTGAGGAAACATCCATGCGTTGTAATTGGTGCACAGGGAGCTAATGCTTGGTGTTAATCAGCGGTGAAGTCGCGTGTCGTATCATTCGAACGGCCAGGAAATTAGGCGTCAAAACTGTGGCCATCTACTCCGACGCGGACCGAGAATCACGACATGTTAAATTGGTAAGCAGTGTCTAATCATACGTCTGCTGAACTCAAACAAGATAAATTCAGCAGTTTATGATATCTTGCTGGGTGTTCTTTGCAGGCTGACGAGGCTTATCGAGTTGGCCCGCCTCCATCATCAGAATCCTATTTGAACATTGAAGCAATCGTGGAGCTTTGTCTCCTAAGTGGTGCCCAAGTGAGTGGTAATCATACTTCAAGACATCACGCCGTCATGTGCGAATTTGATGACGCTTAGTAATCCTCTTGCCAGGCCGTCCATCCTGGTTGGGGTTTTCTTTCAGGTCAGTGCATCATTGCACCAAATTTGAATATGACAGAGCTCTTGTTTGGGGTCAAGTTAACTCCTGGATCATTTAGAACGTGCCGAGTTTGCCGAGAAATTGAAGCAAGCAGGAATTGCCTTCATTGGTCCACCCACGTCTGCCATCATTAGCATGGGATCCAAAAGCGAGTCGAAAGAAGTCAGCAGGTTTGTCTGCTGCTACCATGAGCTCAAGCTACGCTGATTGTGGATTTTGCAACATAGATCATGATTTCGGCTGGCGTGCCTTGTGTTCCAGGATACCACGGTAAAAATCAGGATCTTGATTTCTTAATGAGCGAAGCAAACAAGATTGGGTATCCAGTTTTGATTAAAGCAATTAAAGGCGGCGGTGGGAAAGGGATGAAAATTGTGTATGAACCTTCTGAATTTAAATCACAATTGCAAAGTGCCCAGCGAGAAGGCGAAAAAAGCTTTGGCGATGGTACTGTAAGACAGACTCCCAGCCCTACATTTTTTGAACGTGTGCTCAAGTAACCGCGAGCCTGTATACTGATTATTAGATACTTTCTATTTTTAATAATCATAGGTCCTACTAGAAAAATATTTGTTGAATCCTAGGCATGTGGAGGTTCAGATGTAAGTCTCACCATTTGAAACCAATTAGTATGTTTTTTCTTGCAGGTTTCTACCTACTAATTTCATGTTTAGATTTGGTGACATGCATGGGAACTATGTCTACCTGTTTGAGCGCGACTGTTCCGTGCAAAGAAGGCACCAAAAGATCATCGAAGAGGCGCCTGCACCAGGTCTGAGCCCGGAACAGAGAATAAAACTTGGGGAAAAGGCTGTGGCTGCAGCTAAAGCTGTCAAATATGTAGGGGCCGGTACAGTAGAGGTTAGCTCCGTTGAGCCGCTGCGTCTGTCAAACCTTTGGCTAAGCCCAGTGATACATTATGCATCCCGCAGTTCATATTAGACTCGAATGGAGACTTCTACTACATGGAAATGAACACTAGGTGAGCTGTTCTGCAAATCTTTACGAAACTACATGATTTCCTGATTGGAGTAAGTTCACGGTATCTGCTTTTCCTTTGTCAGGTTACAAGTCGAGGTAGCGTAGCTCTGTTGCCTATATTTGCAGGTGCTTGGCCTGATAGATAGTTTGTCTCATTCCATATTATCATTAGCATCCCATAACTGAAATGATAACCGGACAAGATTTGGTCCAGTGGCAATTGGAAATTGCGTCGGGAAACCCCATTCCCTTGGCACAAGCTGAGATACCATGCATTGGTCACGCTTTTGAAGCTCGAATTTATGCGGAAAACCCTCGGAGGTGAGTCATTCGTCTCGAGATCAAGATTGCTCGCACTTCACCTATTGTGGAATTGGTCTAGTTGAACTTCACGCCCCTTAATAGAAACTTTTTACCAGATGTTGGCCGACTCATTCACGTCAAGACACCGAAAGAAAGCGAGTCAGTTCGAGTTGAAACTGGGGCAGAGAGTGGAGATGAGATAAGCGGTATGTTTTCCTCATCGGAAAACTCCACGTATCGTTTCTGACTCCCATCGACAGTTCACTATGACCCCATGATTGCCAAGTTGGTTGTTCACTCTCCCAAAGACAGGACTTCAGCGCTTACTCTATTACATCAAAAACTCGAAGAATATCAAGTCGTCGGCCCTTCCACCAACATTGAATTTCTCAAGAGTCTTAGTAGTCACCCGGCCTTCGTGGCTGGTGAAGTTGAGACCGGCTTTATCGAAAAGCACAACGAACAGCTTTTCCCACCCCTGCCTGAACGACCTCCGCAAAATGCTCTAATTAATGCGAGTATCTATTCTGCCTCACAGGAAATTAAATCCCGACTTGGCACAGGATTTGTTGGACAAACAAGCAATCCTTGGAACACTCTGCACGGGTGGAGAGTAGGGGGGCAAAAGGTCTCTCGCCAGTATGAGTTTAGCACGATGCTCCTTGATTCTTCCTCGCCCGTTCCATCATCCTGCTCGGTTAACATGGAATTCGGCGGTATAAGCGACTTGCCATCAACTTTGAATTTTGACATCAAGCTTCCTTCACATGAAGTTGAGGGCAACGTATCATCTCATCAGGTCATAACGTATCTAGATGCTGACAGACCTACTGCCACGAGTGCCTCTGGGGACACAATTACTTCGATCGTTGATGGCAAGCGGGATGTTGCGGTACATGTTTCCCAAAACGACGAGTCAGGTGCATTCAGCAAAACCCATCACGTTTTCTCTGGCGAGAACGTAGCATCAATGGGAATTCCTTGGCCCCAATGGATAAAGCTTTCAAAAGCAGAGGAGCTCGACAAAGGCGTTTCTGGCAATGCAGTGCAGGCAGCCATGCCTTCGAAAGTCATCAAGGTAATGGTGGCTGCGGGAGATCAAGTCAAAGCCGGTGATGGACTCATTGTGCTCGAAGCAATGAAAACTGAGGCGAGTCGTGATTCAATCTTCCTCTGGTCACAACGGGTTTAATGACGCTTTTGTTCGGTGTATGTTTCACAGGTGGTGATGAGAGCTTCGAAAGACGGGATGGTTTTTGACGTAAAAGCTCAGGTTGGCAGCATGGTAAAGCAGGGGGAAATTCTGGTGCTACTGTCTTGGGAAGGATAACCCAACGGCTCCACATCCCTGCTAAAGACCACAACACATGTATGAGTAGCCGCTATGTATGGACATGTTTCAATCTTCCGTGGGTTTTGACGAGGTTATGCAAGTATTGAAAACCACAGCTTTTCCGTTTCGCATGGCCCCATTGTTGTGAGAAGGCGAAGATAGAAGGGTGTAGGATTGATGACTTTATTACGGGCAGCGAGCAGCTACCAACACCTCCGAGTTAGTATATCGGCTAGTATGTCCGCCTTTCAATCATGAACGGCCGCGGAAGAGACGGGTTCGATTCCCGTACTCGGAATGTGGTGCGGCGGCAGAGCGCTTGTTTTGCTGGCATTGGGAGCCGCCACGGCTGTGGGCCACACCCAATCTTGCAGATTGCTGCTCAATACCGCAATCTTGCCGCGGCGCGTCCTGCGTGTGTTTTTCGCATTCCGCGCATGCCACAGAGGATGACAAAGAAGGGGAAGGAATTGATTTGTATTGATCAAGCCCCGATGCTTCCAAGGATGAGCTTCTTTCTTCCAGAAGGGGAAGCCAGAAATCTTTACAATACCACTGATGAAGAAGAGGATGGTAGTTATCAGGAAGAGAATGATTCTGACAAGGACCATTCAGGGGAGGGTGATTCTGATGAGGAAATGTTTGAGTTAACTGGACAGAGGCAATGGGAGTGATTTGGAAGTAGCATAAATATTTTTTTACTTACACCAAAATTTACCAAGATTTAAATCCTTCAAAATGATTTTTACATCACCTGTTCTCTCTCATATCAATCAATACAATCACAAAAATGAAAATAAACTTTTCTCTTAAATTATACACAGATCTGGTTGTTTTCACGTGGTTTCTATACTGGGCTGATAGTCCATGCTTGGAAATGAATTTGTCTCAGGTTTTCTGCTCAGAAACAGCTAGGGATATGGAGTTTTTTTTTTAATTTCAATTGTTTATTACAATTTGTGATTTGAGACAAGCTAGTGGAAATGTCAAGGAATGGAGCACAATCAAGTCAAAAAGATCCCATGATTTTCAATAGCTCAAGTACAAGGAGGTAGTAAGCATTAGCCAGTGAGATAACTGCCCCTGGAGCAACAAAAATCTTTTCTGAAGAACTAAGGGTTCCTAAAACTCCTTTATTGAGATATAACAAGTGTTGGAATCGTGTTGTTTGAAGGGAGTTTCTTTTGGTAGATTGATTATTGGTGAGATAACAATGACTGACTTTTTTTGCCCTAGATGATCTTTGAATTCATAGAGTTGTTGAACAAGTCCATAACATATTTGGTTTTGATTATCCCTCCAAAGGAGGAAGTTGTTTGACTGGACAACTGGCACTCTTAGATCTGTGCTGCATACTATACTCTTCACAGGGGTTGCATACCCAGACAGTAGCATTTCACCTCGGGGTACTGGAATAGTATCTTTGTGTTCAGCTTTGGGATCTGTCCTCCTTACAAACCTCAACAAAACATCATATGCCTCCTCCTGTAGATAAATCTCTTAGCCATCTCTCCAAAGGTTATTGAGCTTGTGGAACTGGATTTAAGTTTCATCCATGAGTACCTGATACTCCGTTTGATACAGAAGTCTCTGGAGTTGAATACCACATTGCATAATTGTTGCGTTCATTTTGTCTATCTTTTTTTTTGGAGGAAATTTATGGAATCAATATTCTGATGCTCAGAAAGTGTACAAGAGAGAACATACCAATTTGATGGTTTGTGTGTATTTTATGCAAGCAACAAATAAGATGCTCGCCTGGAAACTTGCAGATACCTGCCAAAGGGCCCCATTTGCGTAGTTGTTCAGGAATATTGAGAGCAAAATGGTGATTGGGAACCACTTTTGCTTCAGGGAATAGATCTCTGATAGACAATCTGTGTTTGTAGTTGATTTCAAATCTTTTGATGCTACATTTGGAGAGATTGCGGGAGCACACAATATGGGTACACTGGACCAAGTATCCAGCACTATATGAGAATTTACAATGATTTGATTCTTTTTCAAGTTTGCTCAGCTTGTCAACACAGAAGTCAAAGATAACCAAGGGAACCACATATGCAAATAGGATGTACCACTGCACAGCACTGAGTTGGCCATGTTTCTCTTTGGCCAGATTTGGTGGGAGCTTTGATAATCCAGAAGGAAGAATGACATCCTTCATACTAGAGAAAAACTGTTCTATGCCATCTTCTGAAAATAAGCTCCCCATAGGTCCAGCATCCAGAAAGATGTTGTCATCCTCATTGTCAGTGCCATCAGAATATTCAGGGATTGAATCAAGCTCTATTGCTGAATCATCTGATCAAGCACGCTTTGCTGACTGGGAACTGGGTACATCAGGTTTTCTTTTTGCCATTTTAGACTGATAGGTGAGATGGAATCCCCAGAAATTGGAAGTGTGTTTGGAGGATGCCTTCAAGCCAGTTATGCATCATTCAAAGAACAACTTGCTGGGTAGGATCCAAGTTACTTAGTCAATTTAGTTCTGACCATTTTACACTATTAGCTCTGAGAAGTGTGTCCTGAGCATTCTTGGTTCTGCACTCCTTTATCTTAGAGTATTTGAGTGCCTTCTTTTGTGTTCTAGGTGCACCATGCTCTAAAGTATCAAGATCGACCGACTTAGCCAGACACCACGAGCAAAATTGTGTGGAATTGTGCTGAGAAAATCCAGTGGCCTTCTTGGTTGCAAGAAGATCACCCACAACGTTGTGGAAAGAAAAACCGTCTCAGTAGGTAACCGAGTGTCCTCCTCCAATTTGTATTGATTAATCTTTGGTTTCACTGCGGAGAACTGCTAGAATGGTGAGTATCTTTCTTAATCCCTAATAAAAAACACTCCCTTGTTACCGCTGTGGAGCTTATATAGGTGAGGGGGTGGCTGCGGGTCTCAGAAATTGCTGCCGCTGAGGACATGGTCACGCGGAAAGCTGAGGCAGGCCAAAGCAAACAAAGGAAAGTATCTTCAGAGCTTTAGATTAGGCTGAGCGGACTATCTTTTGCTTTTGT